TTCCGTGAATTGAATATTGCTGCAATATATGGTCTGGTGCTCCTGTTATATTCTTGACAAAACCCAAAGAAGGGGGGGTCTCTCTCTCTCTCTCTCTCTCTCTCTCTCTCTCTGTGGGTGTGAAAAAGACTGACAAGCCACTGAACACTTCTGAATTCTGAACTGAATATCAGCAGGCAACACCATTTTGTGATGGCCGGGAGTGATGAACACAGAGGCGCAAAAATACTCTAAATGAATAAATGGTTTGTATAACAATGAGAAATTGGAAAATCTTTTTAAGAAATTCACCCCAAACAAGGCGGGAGTGCAACTAGTACGCAAATGGTTACAGAGAATGAATGTGAGCAAAACTGCTTGGTATAGGAGGAACTATAGAAAGGATAAAAGATGAACGGAGTTCAAAGCGACAGAAGAGGTTGACGTTGCAAGTAAGAGGAAAGGAGTTGCACTGTTGTGAAGTGTGATAAAAGAAAGTGTGTATGTAGAATTTACATTTTCATTTAAATCTTTCAACATTAAAACGGTAGGAACAAGATTTCAATCTAGTAGCACGCTTAGATTCATGGTGTCAGGTTACCTGGAAAAAAATCTTGTCAGAGCAGTTGCCATGTAAAAAAATTGTCAGGATCGATTACATTGCAGAGCCTACTTGGATTTTGTCAAGAACATCGAGATGAACATCAGTAGCACTAGATATGGCAACAGTATTCAATATCCGAACGAGAAGTAGATCTGCAAGATAGAATCTGACGAGAAAACCATCTATCAGGAAACAATAAACCACGTTTCCTTGCCGTATATGCCAGTATCGATTCAATGTAGTCGATCCACTTCAACTCAGTCGAAAATGTAAGACCAAGAAAGTGCCGTAATATGTCCCCAGGAGTCGAGTATCAGCAAACCTGATGAGGGCAGTGAAGTTTTTCTGTGGTCGTTAAATGAGTTAAAGCAGTTAATTTTGTAGACATTCAAATTTACAAGCCATTTCTGGACCCAGTTAAACACTGATTGGAGTTTCTTTGCAAAAGCAGCAGCCAGGTTAACTATGTCATCGCTGACGGATTTACTATTAGACAGGAATAAATGATAGTGTCATCAGCACAAATGAATACTTGGGAGCTGCTGACTTCAGGAAGATAATTGATAAAGATCAGAAACAGTGTAGGGCCAGGATAGAGCCTTGGGGAGACCCGCGTTCGTGTGAAAAGATCTGGAAGCCAGTCCGTTAAGAATGATTTTCATTTTATGATGAGATGGCAATGATTGGAGTAACTTAAATAATTGCCGTGTAATATCATGGTCCTGATGTTTACGTAGACAAACCCTACCAAATGCCTTTGAAGTATCTAGAGTTACAGCCAGAGCTTCACCGTTATTATCATATTCAGTTATTGCCGTAATCACGTCAGCGGCAGTCCGGGCAAAGTGGAAACCACATTGTAATCAGGTCGTGGGAGGAAAGATACTTAACCGTTTCAGCCTGGAATACTTATCGGAAAGCGGTAAGAGACTGATAGGTTGGTAGATAGAGGTTCAGATGGTTATCCCGAGTTTTTAAAGACAGGGACCCCGGACGAGGACTTTCCAAATGCTGGAAAGCAGGAAGTAGCGTGATAATAGTTGTAGTGTTTGGAGAGAACTGGTACTAACTCGGAAGTACTTTTCTTTAGGACGACGCCTGGTATCCCGTCACCTCCACATGACTTCTGGGAGTCCATTTTAGAAATGATATACGAGACTAATGACTGCGTTATACACATATGACTATGTTCTAGGGGAAGGTAATCCAGAGCCGATTTTTGGATTGGAAGAGAATTTACGAGCAAAGCATTAAACCTTATCTGCTCTAGAAGTGAGTACTTCGAATTGATTGAATAGGGGAGTGATTGAGCATTTGCTGTTGTACAGTTCACTCTTGCAGAAACGCCAATAGTCTCTAGAAACGGGATGCTATACGTTGTTTCATTCTATTAGCGAACAGTATATTTGCTTCATTGACGGTATGCTTGCCGTCATTACGAGCAGAGAAAAAAAAACTCCTGTTGTAATCACCCGGAAGGAGCTATAGCGGCCGATCATGCAGGTGAGAACCAAAGAGATAAAAGCGGTTTAACTTGGTATTGCCTTGCTGGAATAAAAGCATCTACGCCGGCTTTCCTCTAGTAGCAGACATCAGACGCGACATTTTGAAAGAATATAAACCTCATTCCAAGGGATGTCACGAATGAAACCGCGGAACGAGTCCTAATCAGGTCGTTTATTTTTTATATCTTTTTAAAGATATTCCGTTGGTAGGAGGTTCTTGGCTGGTGAGGAAGCGGAAGGAGACGTTTACAGACACCGTCACGTCATCAGAGTTGCCAAGAGGGAAGAGCTGCGTAGTACGATAAGAGTCAGTGATATAGGTAAAACAAGAGATCGAAAAGTAAAGAAGTTCAGTCAGGGTAAACATGGGATCACGTAAGGCAGTCAGTCACTTGCGTGAGAGATTGAGTGATTGAAAAGTTACGGGTTCGATGGCAGAGAGGTCAGTGACAGAGTGTTTATGGTGCCTGCTATGGTGGGCATTAAAGTTTCCCGAACACGAAACGGGTGTAGGGAGATGGCCTTGTCTATAGTATCGGAAATACTATATAGCACGCAACAGTCTTGAGATGAAGAGGAACGGTAGAGAATGAAGAAATAGCTGACTGAGTTAATTAGAGAGAGACGGAGGTATATGTATAGGTATAGCTTACGGTCAATTCACGCTGAAACACCGGTTCTCGTTCGATCACCGAAGTTAAGCATCGTAGAGCCAGGTCAGTACTTAGATGGGGGACCGCTTGGAAACACCTGGTACTGTAAGCCCCCAAAGTCCAACCCTTACCTCACAGTCGGTGGGGGGGTGTAAGCGGTAGTGTCAGAGCTATGCCGCCCGGTACTTCGTTCCTGGTAGGGCCACCCAAGGCGGACAGGTCTGACACAAACGCCGGCTAACAAGGGCTCTGGTGAAAATGGGCGAGCGTCTGCATCGGTAACCGGCGGCTTCTGGTCGTTCCTGTCTCTGCGTCTGTGGGAATCCCGCGGCAAGCAAGCACGTTATTCGAGTAGGCCTGGTTACCCTACTTCTGTAATTTATCCCAAGAATCTTCTTCTCATAACAGGAAGAAGCCGGCTCAATCCGCCCAGGGTGAATGCCGCATCAGTACAGTACAGTAGGAGGTATATGTAAGAATGTTCTGCATATTCAAGATGAATTTCCGAGCCAGCGGGAGATATTTGCGGACATAAACTTCCAGGTCATGTGGACTTTAGAGTTCTTTCTAAGTAGAGGAAGACAGCAAGGAATCGAGAAGTGAGAGAAAGGGACTGAAGAGTTATGATTAGATTCGCAGAGAGCTAGTAAGTTCGGAGATTTTTGAAAAGTAACGATTCCACACTGCAGAATTTGGTACGGATACCACGAATGTTGGAGAAGGAAAAAGTTAAGATGTTTAGGCGTTTTTGTCGAGCTGGCTTAGATTTATATCTTTTGTTGTTTATAGTCATAATGTGTTACATTAGTACCAAATGAAAGGCCTAGGGTCGTAGTAGGAATCGGTCATCTAATGTAACATGTGCAGAGGTGACTGGCGCGGGTTTGCTTACCGGAGATGCTTGCAGGGACACCCTTCCATGCATGGGATGGCACTGCATGAACCTCGATATTATGCAACTATTATTCGGAGCAGTCTCTCAAGGCGGGTTCTTAACTTCGAGTCGGGAAGAGCAACAAGAAATCTACCAATCCGGTACACTCAGTATGAAGAGACGTTTCCCACCATCCACGCATATCATAAGAAATTTATAACAGCACCACTATTAAGCCTAAGAAAAGGAAAAGAAGCGGAAAGCCTTGTTTAAGAGAAGTGGGAGGAGAATCGATCGGACGATAGGAGAGTCTATCTGTAACTTATTAAGATAAATAAATAAAAAACAGAATGCAATTCCGGATTTGACTTCCAGTTAAATTATTTCAAAGAACGAGTTTATTTCCCATAACTCACCAGGAGAGTCAAAATGCGTCCTACAAATGCCCCAGCACAAACATGCAGGCATACCTATTCGCGGGAGGAATAAAAATCAAATATAATATAATTTAAAATAATAAAGTATGTCCGAATACCAGCTCTTTCAAAATGTATACGCATATGCCTAGTCACAGGCAGAAAACGAACAATCAAAGTTAAATGCTACGGACCCGATATAAGATTAACATAGCTATAATACAATTAGTAAAAACATAAATAAAACATTCTAGGAGGGACATAGGAAGACGTTGCAGAGAATCAAGACAAAAATGTTTAATTAAATACAAAAATACATTATATTAAAAAAAAGACTGGATTAGGACTGGCAAGATTTTTTAGTCAGCTAGTTTTGACCAAGTGTAGAAGTCTGAGATCGCCAATTTTCTGGCCATAGAGAAGGAAGAATTGGGCAGTACCGTATTACTGCCCTTTTTCTTGCGGACAGTGGGGGCCTACAATTGCATTTTTTTTTCGTATAAAGAGAAAAAGAAAGAAAAGACAAGTACTAACTCTTTCAAAATGCGTACATATAGACCCAGCCAGAAAATGAAAAATCAAAATTAAAAGCTACTAACCCGATGAAGATCAACCTAGTTCGAATTCCAGTCGGCATAGTTACAATTACCATTGGGAAAGATATGAAACAACTCTTCTGAAGCAGTTATGGGTAAATAGCAGGACAGACAAAGCATAATAGCCTAGGTTGGCAAGGGGTTTTAGGAGAAGGAAATCTTGCACATAACAAATGATCACTTTAAAGAATTGACTTGGTTTACGATAACATTACATATATGGGAGAGTCGGTGTTGTTCCGAGTTCATTACGCTGATTATGAACCAGCTCGGTAACCATGCGCACATAATTTCCTGTTTTCTTTCTTCAGGCAACGCGTCGTTTTTCTAGGCATTCTTTATGCTCTATTTCAGTTCGTTCATTTCTAGCTAGGTAGTTGTCCGAGTCCGTTCATTTCTTTCTTTCTATCTATCACTGTTAAAATATCTATCTATCTATCTATCTATCTATCTATCTATCTATCTATCTATCTATCTATTTCAGTCCTTTCATTTCTAGCTAGCTAGTTGTCTGAATTCGTTCATTTCTTTCTTTCTTTCTCAATTAAAATCTCTCTCTCTCTCTCTCTCTCTCTCTCTCTCTATCTATCTATCTATCTATCTACCTTGTTTACTATTTTCATATCTGCTTTAAACTTTTAATCTGTCCACAGTTATAAGCTTTAACCCTTGAGAAACATAAAGTTCATAATATATTATAGAAAATGGAAGACAGCAGACCTTGTCTTCACCATCCGAAATAACTCCACCAAATCGAAACTAGCGCAAGCCAATATAGTGTAGTAATTTCAATACCCATTTCAAGTTACTTGTCAAAAATCAGTTACTTATATCGAACACACCACTACCTCCTTAAGTTGACGTCTTACATGTCACCTTTCGAAGCAGAGTGCGATTGATAAATTATTTATTTACACGAACCTTTAATTAAAATTCTAGTCGATAACAGAAATTTCTTTTGGAAATCTGATAGTCGAGGACGATTCATTATTAAGGAAGCATCATTCTCTTGCTATCAGTCTTAAACTGTTTAGCCTTCGGAGGCGGCGTGTTAAAGGTTTTCCAAAAATAGAAGTGGTGCCCAGGTTTACCGGTCGCGTATGGCAGGTGACCACCAAAAAAAAAAAAAAGCATACGCCCCCGCACGTAATTCACATCTCTAATTTCCTTTGTAGAAGTTAACAAACTGAAACTCATCATCCCAAAACTATATTCTCGATAAGGGGTATAGATCTAGTCTAGAGGGCTCGGAACTAATTATAACTATGAACAATGTCTATACTCTTTAATCCCTGAAAAATGGAAAAAAATGTTAAAATGCTGGAAAAACTCAATAAAAGATTAATTAAAACTTCCTTGCCGGCCGTTTTGCATAAAACATGATTGATAGAAAGTTTTCTGTCCAAATACACATTCATATATATATATATATATATATATAGAGAGAGAGATAGAGAGAGAGAGAGAGATAAAGCGTCCAGATAAAAGCAACTGTATATGCAGAGGCAAGCAAATAAATAATCATGAAATTTCTTCATAAGTTGTAAACATAAGAGTGATCGATGTTAATACAGAGAATATATATACTAATAAATATACACATACCTACGTTTTATGAGAGACTTGTTTCGATGGTTTCCCAGCTCATCGGGCACAAATTACTTTGTGCCCGACAAGGTGGAAAACAGCGAAACTTAAGACCCTTTCAATATATATATATATATATATATATATATATATATATATATATATATAACATCTCTATTTCTCGGTTCGTTCTTTAAGGTCAATTGAAAACGGCAGTCTTTTCATAATATCATGCAAACAGAAATATTTTAGCCTATTCATCCTGATCTTCGGTATATGTGTTTCAATTTTCGAAAATGTTTGTGAGACTCTGAATATGTTTTTTAAAAGACATTTTGCTCCATCCAAAAATGTCTATATCATAAAAAAATAATTCATATTTTATAATTAAAAAAAAATACACTGGAATTTTTCGTTCTTCCTGTTCTCATACATTTCGCTTTCCGATCTTTCGGTCATGCCTCTTCACTTACATTCATTTTTTCTTCTAGTTCCCGCCATTTTTTTTTTTTTCAGTCTCTACTCTTGATTTTCTTTCCCGCCAATTTACATTTCTCCGGGTTTTGTCATTCTTTTTTATTGTTTCACGCCACATTTTCCGCAGATTTTCATTACATTTTGCTATCTTGCTTCTTATTCCTGTGTTTTTTTGAAAAATTCTTAATCCTGAGAGGATTCTTTCATTTTCTTTCGTGTAAGATGAATTTTATTAATATTATTACCAAAAGTTTAATTTTCTATATGAATATATGCGAAATTGGATCTGAATTCTCCGACGAATTCCGAGATTAAAAAGTACAACTCTACTTTATAGTAATATGGTATTTAACTGACCCCCACAAAATCTCGTTGAGACACAAGCTGTATTTAATGTAGGGATCACGAGCATGTAAATCCTGGCTAGGAACAAAAAATCCAGGAGCCCCGCAACCGTCGCTTGCCTCGGTGGGATCACCTATCCCTCTCTCTAGTGCAATGAAAGACACGGCATCGGGCAACTATTTCCTACGGCCGGAACCTCTCAGTATAATTTTCCTCAGTTGCGACGTATAATACGCCTTTGAATGCACTCAGCCCAAAGACAGGGTGTCAATTGAGAGATGATGATTAACGTGTTACAAATTACTCGAATGTAATTTACAGACGGTATATTCTCTGTCTCCCATTAAGACCAGATACGGTCAGGTTTTAAGGTAGAAACCCGAGCATGTACACCCGGGCTACGAACAAAAATTGCACGCAGCCTCCGCAATCTTCAGTTACGCTGGCCTCGGTGCGAGGACCGATCCCTCTCTCTTTGGTACAATTATAGGGCGCGTCATGGTGCATCTGTTCCCTCGGGTTGGGCAGCTCTCAGTATAATTTCCCTCAGTTGCGATTCTGTCCTTTGACGGAGCCACCCCTGAGCTGACTCTGCTAAAAGAGAGAGACGCAGCTGAGAGATGAAAATAAACTACGTGAGTGCAATTTACACACCGTGTATTTACTCTGTCACACCACTAAGGCGAGTTGTGACACAAGGACATTTTTAAGGTGGGGATCCGAACGCGTACACCCGGGCAAGGAACAAAAATTACCCACAGACCCCGCAAGTGTCGGTTGCGCTGGCCTCGGTACGAGCACCGATCCCTCTCTCTGGTGCAATGAGAGTGTATGGTCTCGGGTAGCTTTTCTCTAGGGTCGGGCAACTCTATGTATAATTTTCCTCAGTTGTGGCTCTCTCCTTTGACGGGGTCGCCCCTGAGTGCACTCTGCGTAAAGACAGTGACACAACTGAGAGATGATGATAAACGTGTTACAAACCCCTCAAAAGAGCTATTTGCATATCAGGTATTTACTCTGTCTCCCCACTAAGACGAGTTGTGACACAAGGTCTTTTTTTTTTAAAGGTGACGTCGTATACCCGGGCAAGGAACTAAAATTGCCCGCATCCCCCGCAACCGTCGGCTACGCTGGCCACGGTACAAGCACCGATCCCTCTCTCTGGTGCAATGAGAAGGCCCGGCCTCGAGCAGTTTTTCCCCAGGGTTGTGCACCACTCAGTATAATTTTTCTCAGTTGCGATTCTGTCATTTGACGGTGTCGCCCCTGGGTGGACTCTGCCCAAAGAAGGAGACGAAACTGAGAGATGAAAAATGGAGGTGTTACAAACTCCTCGAGTGTTGTTTACACACTTACACCTCAACAACTGTATTATATATTATTCACATCTAGGTGATATCACTTTTCGGGTCTTACTAATGTGTAGATTAATTTTTAAAAGCTATATTCATTAATTAATTGTCCTTCATTACTGTTCTTTTATTATTCGAGCAGTGTTTTGATTTTCATATCAAAGATAGTTCTGTTTTGCCTCATATAGTACAGAAAAGTGTCCGCAATCAGCATTTTACTTGACGTTCAACAAGTTGGCATCTATTTGTAAAACTTTCCTCAGCTAAAACAAGCCTCCCCATACCCAACTAACTAAATTCTTTTGTCTTCACAGTTATATTTTTTAAACAAATGTATTGAACGTTCACAATCCCTTCAGCATGTCATAAATATTGACATTAATCCTATAGAAAAACAACTATTTTTTTCTAGAAAAATTACCAGGTAATTTTTCTAAGGTAAACATCTGTTTATATAACTAGCGTCCATAACTAGCTGTTTTTTTACAGAAGTTACAGTGTGGAAATTCGACAAACTACATACTACCAAAATGTATTTTTCTGAGTAAGTAGAAGAAGTAAATAAAGCAAACATTTCATACACAAACATACTCTCCCACCCGAAAGAAAATATAAAAATGCTTCCTTTCTAATTAATTTTAAAAAAAGGCTTAACACAAATAAACTAATGACTAATTTGCACATACTGCTTAAAATATATTCTGAATGATTGTCCTTTTCTTTTAATTTTAATTGGAAATCCATTCACAATTAAAACTTAACTGTCTATTCAATTCCACTGGCTTTACTTCGAACGAAAGTTTTTTTTTTTTTGCTTATGTTTTCTATTATTCATTTTGATTTCAGTTTTTTACCATTATGTTTTACGTTCATAAAAATACATGTATTTTATTTCTGTCAACACCTATTAAATATTATTAAGTTTCACCATGTTTCATTTGTTTAACCCTAGAACACTAACCATCAGTTAAAGTTACACCCCTACTGACCATGGGTATAACATACCCGATTTTGAAAATATCAAAAAAATATTAAACATAAATCTTTATTTGAAATATTTTACATGCTGGCGCTTCGAGATTTGTACTTTAATAGGAACTGAAAAACATATTATTTATTAAAGAAAATCAGGCACTGAAAATTGTAATTAAAAATAGGTAAAATTTGCGCTGGATTCTATATACCCATGGTTAGTGTTCTAGGTTTGAAAGTGGTTAAAATTCTAATGTTTAGCTATCTGAATAAATATAAATGTTTTCTTTCATATTTATAACCATTGTATGAATGAAATGTTCATTTAAATATTTTGTTTCAAATATTTCAAGTAGTGAATATATCTTACTTTCCAAAGCGATAACGAGTCTGCTAGTTCATAACATTTTCCAAAATTTTAGCCGGCCTTTTCCTTCCTTTTCAATAAATCTTAAAGAAGATGATTAATCATCAGCATCTATAGACTGGTGCTACAAACCATAAATAAAGATCCTACCAAATATCAAAAATATTACTTAATATTGTAAACAACATCACCAAATGTGTATCAGAATATTACTAGTAAAGAAAATAATGTAAAATATGTTTTCTAAAGAATATTTCCTCAATACTGGAAAGAGCTATAACAGTTAATGGGTTTGATATGTCTAAGTTAGTGACATATTGATTTTTGTGTTACATATTTCAGCCGTGAGTAATACTGTTTTATCAATAAATGTCGATTTTTTCCCGTGTTGAAGCGGCC